ACAGCTGCTTATTCAACATTATGTATACTTCTTATATATTACTATTTATTTGTTGCTATTTGATACCTACGTTTTGTTTTGTGTTAGTTATTCAGTGTTGAATTGTTTTTTCTCTTCATGGTAAAATCAAAAGTTCAAGTGGAACTTTTTTATTTAAAAAATCTATATCACTATGAAAGTCCATGCTTCATTGATTTTGGAGCATCTTTGAAAATTTTATATTCATAACATTATACATAATTCGAAAGGAAAGAAAACAAGGTATTTGATGAGCGGATGAAATACAGGGTGTTCTACTGAAAAAATCATAAGTTTGATGCGTACTTATCTCCAAAATCATATACTTACCCCGAAAAAAAAAATGAGTGCGCCACTAGTTTCTGAGTGACATTCTCTATGAGATAAAATTTCAATTAGTCATTATCGCATTTTTCATCACTGAGGAACTTCGTTGATATGGAGATGGTCGACATAGTGTGAAATGTACAGTGCTTTATACGTAACCAGTTAGGAAACGCGTCATTTTGTTTGACGACGGGATTATGCGAGACGAACGAACGTATTACGTGTAATTTTTTTTCTAATTTTGCTAGAAAATTTCGCTCGAACAGATAATATAATGACCATCATTTCTACATGAATTCTACCGATTATGTACAAAAATTGAGTATAGGCAAGTCGACTCCGCCCGTCACTTCGAAGTATCCGACTATCCGTCATAAAATAATATGGTCGCAAATTAGTGACCAAATTCACGAAAAAGACTCGTTCGATACTTCCATCAGTGAAAAATGGCTGATTCAAGTTCAGTTTTTCCAACTGATATTGAGAAAGCAGCTTGAAATACATTATTCTTTTCGTCCAACCACATATTCAATAACGTAACTGGTGCTGTAGTGAATGATATTTCATCACCAGTTAAACCAGTTATGTTATTTTTCACTTTACACCACAGGTTATACGAAAAGTGAGAAGTTTCAATATTTCCGTAGTTTTGAGAAGTTCCACATCACATGTCAAATTGAATAAAAAAGAATTTCGAGCCAAACTCAATATTTCCAAGGGATATCCTGAAACAGGTTGATTTTCATTCTCAATTTCCACATTTATAATAGACAATTTCTCGAATGGAACATCCTATCAACTATTGAATTCTCGAAATCTTCATGGAAAGCTGAATTCAGGGTGTTCCATTGAAAAAAAAAACACAAAGCTATTATAGCCTACCCGAAAAAACGAATGACACTGTGTATAAAACAACTACACAAAATAAAAGTTTGGGTGGTTTCAAACAACTTTTTCATTTAACATTCCTCAATATTCCTATAAAAACAACATAATGACCTCTTTATACTGAACTTTCCTTGAATGAAGTACCATTCCTATTTCACATTCCTGGGGGGAATTTGAGACTAAGAGAATTGTTTGAAATGATGACTTAATAAAAACAAATTATCATAGGGATTTCCTTTCGTTCGCTTCAAGCGTTGAAAAATATGTTCCATAAATAACTAATCCAAGTGCTTCGTAAATTTTTCATTTTATAAGGATGCTTGCCAAAAATTCGAACGGATGACGTCACAATGTGTACATGATGATTGCAGACAAAAAGGTTCCTGCATGATCCGCCATTTTGAAAACAAATGTCATTTGAAAGGTATTTTTTCGCTCTATCGACTTACGTAAAATTATTCATACAGAGTGCCATTTGAATTTCAGTAAAATTTTGGGGCAAATCCTCTGTACTTGTACAGTGTGCAACATATGGAAATTTTTTTGATGAATTGCACAACCAAAATACAGATAGTGTCAAAGGTTGGTGCATGTTCGGTAATCATTTAAGGTGCACTTAGAATCGTTGCAAGTCAAACAGCATACAGGGTAGGTCAAAATAAATAAAAAATGCTCAGGAGTAAAGTACCCTTATTTCAGAAAATTCAGCAAACTGTTATGGAAAAAAGTTCTTTACAATTGAAAGTTTTTCCTGAATACCAAAACATGGCCTCCTAAGACATATTTTAGTGTTTCGATTTGTTCCATTAATAACTTCCCAATTTGTATTTTTTTATATTCACCCTAAACACTTTCATAATTTGATCATAAAAAAATCAGTTGATCATACTTTTGTTGAAATTAATGCACTTTTGTGCAATCAACTTGGATTTTATTTTTTTAGGGAATCACAAACTTTGTTGCAACGATATACAGCTTAATTTTGAGATTTCGCAAACCATATTTTCAACAAGGTGAAATATCATTAGATAAGGAGTATGTCACCAAACTGCCTCAATATTTACTGTCAACCCTCATTTGTTCTGTTCCTTGGGTGTCCGTGATTTTTCAAAAGATATCATGGTTGTCGATCAATTTGTTCAGCTTTTTCATAAACATTTCAAATACAAAATGTTCACATTAAATGAAGGTTTTTGAATATGCATATTATCATTAATGATGTTGAACATAGGGTTCGCAAAATTTCAAAGTTGAGCTGAATATCGTTGCAACAAACATGAAGTTTGCGATTTCCTAAAAAAATTGAAATCCAAGTTGAATGCAAAAATATGCTTGAATTTGAAAAAAAAAATGGGAATTTATTAACGAAAGGAATTGAAGAACTGAAGAATGTCTTAGGAAGCCATGTTCTGGTATTTAGGTATGAATTTTAATTGTGAACAACTTTTCTCAATAACATTCTGCTGAATTTTTTGAAATACGGGTACTTTACTCCTGAGCACTTTTTATATCTTTTCACCTACCCTGTATGCTGTTTGACTTGCAACTATTCTGAGTGCACTGTATATTGAAATTATGCTCATATTATTATTTTGTAGAAGCGAGGAGGGAAAATCCCAAATAATCAAGGAAAATGTATGTAACACCTCCTCGATCAACCAACAGGCGGTATTTCGAGCCGCCATTGCTTGAGATTTGACATTTCATGGAAGATGAATGAAGTCATTATGATATCCGAAACGCAAATGAAATTGATCACATACAAAGTACCTCATTGATCACATACAAAGTACCCCATTGACGAACGGAACATTTTGGTATATAAACGAATTGGGTCCAATCAACTTATTTTGACCTCTACTTCAAGTAGAGCAATTTTGGGACACCCTATATATAATCTATAACTGAAGTCATGTGAGGGATTTAAGCACAATTGACAATAAGAAATCACTAGATTCGAAAACTCTTGGGGAGTAGGTTTCCCGAAACGAAATAGCGATATACAAATGCTACAAGTTCTTTATTTATATTATCTACTATTTAATTGGAGAATCAAATTGAAAGGTATACACTCTGATCCAAATCTCAGACCATTGGACTATAGAAAAGTTTGAAAGTTTGATGTTTTTCTCCAATATTTATATGTTCAGAAATGGACATACAATGATTCCATTTCTGCCTTATAGAATCTCCGAGAATAGATTCACCTATTATACATAGAAAACATCGTTATATTCACATGTCTGATGTTTTGTTATATAATTTTTCAACAAAAAGAATGATATATACTTATTTATCTTGATACAATCAAATTATCATGTCAATATCTTCCTGATTCGGATCAAACAGATTATCAAACACAAATACTACAATGTACGAACCTTTCTCAGCCCTCTAGAATTCTTCATAAAACAGTTTGAATCAGATTTGAGTAGGTATAGCAAGGAATTTCTATCGATTCAACTTGGCAACAATGCGCTACCGCTTGTTCCGAGTCTCCACGCGTCTCACACATTCTGGTATATCGACGGTCTGTCGATGTACGGTTCTGATGTTTTACGGGTCTGTCAATGTACGGTTCTGCCATTTTACGGTTCTACTATTTCACGGGTCTTAATCCAAAAAATTCTGAAAATTTACGGGTTTGGTAGCTGCACGTTTCTGCCATTGTACGAGTCTGTCATTTTACGATTCTGCTGTTCTACGGGTCTGTCGTTTTACGGTTTTGATGAATTATGGATTGGAAATTCCGGTAGTCCGATGGATTATGAGTCTGTCGATGTACGGTTCTTGCATTTTACGGATCTAGAGTATTGGCAGTCTGTGCTTTTACGAGTCTGTCATTGTACGGATCTTTCATTTTACGGGTATCAAAAATCGACAGTCTGTCTTTTTACGGGTATGAACTTTTCGCATTCTGCCATTTTCAGATTCTGTACATCACAATTCTGCCAGTTTGCTGGTCGGGAATGTTCATTCTGAAGAAATGGTGGTCTACAGAGTACGGGTCGCTGAATTACAGTCTGTGCTTTTACGGTTCTATGACTTTACGATTATATATTTTTATGATTCTGACGACATGAAGAGTATTTCATTTACTGGTTTGGCAAAGTACACTTCTGAATATATGGCAGTCTTTCGATATACTATTGTGATTTATGCATTCTGACATAATGCAGTCTGTCAAAGTACGGTTCGACAAATTACGGGTTGTACATATTGCAGTCGCTGAAATATGGTTCTGATGATTTGCTATTCTGATTTCTTACTATTCTAGTCAAATAAATTCCTACTAATCGACGGTCTGTGTCGATACGTTCTGATGATGTATATGGACCCGATTTTGCTCAACACGCGCCCTTAGATTTTCGACAACTTCTTCCGATATTTGGGGCCTTTCTGTTGATTCCTTTTTATTAACGTTTCCAGTTTGGATAAATCTGTTGATCACTGTCCTGATGTGGGCTTTCAAAGAAGATTCTTGAATTTGTACATTAGGATATTTCGCCAGGAATGTGCCATTTCGACAATATAAGACATTACAATAAATGTATTCTGCTCCGAGGAATAAGCCATCCCTCTTTTCAACACGACAATCACGAAGTAGAAAACAGAATCGTTTGAAAATGTTAACGAAAAACTGAGTCAGTAATTAAATTCGAATGTGTGAATCTCCATAAATGAAAGGCGGCAAATGGAGAAAATAGAAACCCTGTATAACCAAACAAGCGCCGTTTCCTAACTGGTTCCATAAACATCTATTTCAGGTTCAGGGCGGACAACCCGGGCTTCTGGCTCTTCCACTGCCACTTCCTTTTCCACATCGTGATCGGCATGAACCTCGTGGTCCAAGTGGGCAGCCACGCAGATCTGCCGCCCGTGCCGCCCAACTTCCCCACGTGTGGGGACCACACGCCCGAGATAACGGCGGACTTCCACAGCAACTACCTTAAGTGATCGTTTTAACGGAGATTATATGCACCCTGGATAGACAACGACTCTGTAAAAATTGGCAACGCTACTTTACGGACGTAACAGACGGGCGGCTAATCGGCTGTGATGATTCGTTGTACAGTGTGTCCAGTTTGGTCATCGTATTCCCAATAAAGAGACCAAGTTGACACGCATTCAGAATTGCCATATTAATACAGAGTGGGGCATAGGAACCCAGTGTTTATGGTTTGGGTAGTATTTGCCATTAGAAAATGACGGGGCGCGCGGTTCAACTCTTTCAGGTACAGGAATTTCGAAATATAACACCCCCTAGATGTACAGCTTTATTTTTCTTCAGATTTTCAAGAGATTCAAAACAAATATTTCGAAAGATACGAACGAATATAAAATAATTTCAGAATTTTCCAATTTTGACAAAAAAAACGTTGGGTCAAAATCTAACCCACCATTACATATAAGGTGAAAGATTTCATGAGAATCGACTCATTTCAAATCACTGTGGAACGTCTGCAAACATGTTTTGTTCTTTGCAAGATAGAGTTAAACACACAACCAGTTTGTTCCGACTTCAAACTCTCCTGAATTGCAAATAGCATTATCTCCTTCGACTTGTTCGGATAGGTTGATGAGCACCCTGTGTGACTCTCTCATTACCGGGCTATGACTGAGTGTTTTTCTCTATTTGAATCGTCCATTCCGTTGATTTTCTCGATGAAGATACTGATATTTATTGACGACTAAATGATCACATCTTTCATTGATAACTTTGGAAGATATACAGTAATTTGTGAAGAATAAATCAGTTGACTACAGCGGCATCCAAGAAAAAGATTTCATGAATATATGTTCCTTTATATGTCTTTCCAGTCGACTGGTAATTCTGCTCAGTATATAGATTGATCTGGAAAACTATGTGATTCAATAATTTGTTCGTGATAAACTGACGAAAGATATTATCCATCTTGAGCAACTCCAGAGGTTCTATTGAAATCTTTTGGCAGTACGATCTCATCCATTCCACAATGGTTTCAACTCCGCGATAGGAGTACCAAATCTTCTGGGTCCCATGTATCCATATATAAGTACTGGTGTCTCGATATTCATATCCGACAGTATGTTGTTAAAATTGAATTCGACATAATTTTCCTCATCATTATCCTTGAAAAATGTCTTGGTTATGTTATATGGTGGGACAAATTTCAAACAGCGTCGACTTTCACATATTGTGAACGAAAAATAAACATATAAGTTGGAAAAATATAACAAGTAGCTCACCTATGTTGCCTAGATGGTATTTTATGCAACAAAAAATGTAATCACATGATAAGCATGAAATTTGCAGCCGCAATTCGAGAGGAGAAACACAACGTACGGAACAAGTTTCGAGTTCATTCTATTTACTAATAATGTATCGTTTAATTCGCTTCAGCTTAGAACATATGATTCCAAAGACCAATATGAGTAAGTTATATGGGGCGGGAGAGAAAATAAACCGTCGTACCAGAAATCATAAGCCCATTGCAGAGCAGAATATATTTTGTCCCAGCATACCTCTAACTCCAAGAAATTCACTTTCTCAATTGCCACTTGCCATCATAGAGCGATGGACGCTAGAGCAACGCGTGTTCGTTATTGTTATTTCACAAACATTTGATTCCTCTGCCTTACTCTGTACAATAACTTACGTACAGTCTTCTATCGCACCTCTCAGGAGCTTCAGTTAGGAAAATAGCATGTCTTACTTCCACTTGTTTCTCAGTGAACTTTGGTCAGTGTGTTTCTCTTGCATACTTCTGAAAGAAGGGGCATAGGAATCAAGTGTTTGTGGAAAAACAATAACGAACATGCGTTGCTCTAGCGGCAACTGAGGAAGTGAAATGCTACGAGTCGAGGAATGGATTTTAATAAACTGCCGTAATAGCCGAGTACTACCCAAACCAAAAACACTTGGTTCCTATACCCCACCCTGTACAATGGGCAAACATACAAAAGTACCATTTCTTGCCTATAATTCCAGTGCGGTATAGTGATCATTTCTGTCGATGCCACCCATGTTCTTGTTGTACAGTTACATCGTGAAAGGCTGTGGAACTTGTACTGATTTTATTTTCTGTTGGTTATACCTTTTTACCAAATGGATAAAATTGACTGTCAGATGCTTATTAAGTTGCAGACTTCTTCATTTCAGCAGTAGATTTCGAAGGATTTATTTATAATGTCCGTACGTCCAAATAAGTTATTCTATTTCTAATATTAGATACTCCTGACGTACTACTTGAATTCATCTCTAGAAAATATTCAATGACACTAAATAGAACTAACTCCAACGCAATCATAAGCAACAGAAGTATTTAGAATCACACCCACGTATCACGCAGCCGCAATATGATCCAGGGGCGTATCAAAAAATTTAAAAAATGTGGCGTCCTTTTAATAGGACGGTAAGAGATTTCTGGGTTTATCGAAGTCGGTAAAATCCACGGCTTATTAATGAATAGACGTACACAGCGGTTTACCCTCCGATCAGTTACGTCCCTAGTGAGCGTTGCCCGTTCTTACATTTACGTGTCTATCTAGTGTATAATCTTTGGTTTTAATGTTTTCGGTTCCGATGGCTTCGAGAGAGTTCTTTGGTAAGGTGGCTCTACGACTGATTATTGTTTTAATGCTTCCGACAGACGATGGGGTATTCAACGATTTTCAACTTCTAGACCTTTAGGTGCTGTTTAGTCCCGTTAGACCTTTAATGTCTCAGTTGCGACCCTACATTTTACCGGAAAATTTTTTTATTCATTCCTCTCCTATGAATTTTAGTAAAGAAGCTGATCTTTAGTAGTAGTAGTTTACATAATTCCGTGGAATTTCCCGTATCTACTATCGCCTATAGCTTTTCGAAATATTGTATCTCGTTTATTCGACATTCTGAAGTACTTGAACAGTTCCTGCTCGTCTTCTAAAAGATCTGGGAATAGATGATGGAATTCCCCAAAGTGTTGAATTTTCAGGTTGATATCAGGGATCTATTTGCGCTTTTTATTGTTTTTTCTCTGTTTCTTCTTCCAAAACTACACACTAATCGCCACAAATTCTTCGTCTGAACTGTTCACTGCGTAATACTAATACAACTAGATCGGGATAGCAAGTCGCTAAAACTTACTCATATCTCATATACAATTTTTTGCGTGGAATTCCGCGATAACATACGATGGTTCAAAATTTTTATTTCTTTCCCTTCCATTCCGTTCCTTTCCGTTGCTATCCAGTCCGTTCCACGATAGTGTGCGGCCTCCTTTAAGACTATCCTTTCGGGCCCATTGTGCTCCCACATTTCCTGGATGCAGGTCAGGATGTACTTTAGGATATATGCTGATAGAACCTTTTTAGAGGAATCTGGAAACAAAGATCATTCTTATTCTGACTCACCTTGTATATACTCTGGTAATGTTACTTTCCTCATAATTTTCAGCTTATATGTGGAAACTCTGATTGTAAGTAATATTGAGTATAGTTCAAGTTTCAGTTTTAGAATTATAGTGAATTATAATTTTGAATGTATAAAAATAGCGTATATTCGAATTTTATTTTCATTGTTATTCTTATTGTTGAATACGCCATTGTCTCTTTGAGTTGCCATCTTATTTCGGAATTTTCTCGAAGAAATCTTTGACTTCAGTTACCTTGACCAAATTCGGATTACCGATTGCTGAAAATTGATCTTGCCATTCAGAAAGAAATTGGTTTGCTTTTTTTGTTATTCTACTTTTTGTAAATTATATTATTATTTATCTATGATGGTCTCCTTTTCGCCATAATTATTTAAGGTAAGTATAGGACTCCTACCTCCTTCCTACTAACATTTTTCATTTTTTTAGAAGAAATTTAACATCACAGTAGCACAAATTTTGGAGCTGTTGAGAAGCTGAAATTTTGTATATATTTATTATAATTATACAGGGTGTTCATTTCAGGACTTCCCACCCTAATTTTCTCGAAATGTGTGTATGTTTTTGAAAAATCCCGAGACACATCAACTACATTTTCGAGGGGGACATGGTTCTAAAATATTTTCAGCCCCGCGGCGTTGCCGCTTCTAACGAAAAGAAGCAACAACTTTGTTATTTCAAATGGAACACCCCGTATTTTATTGCATTTTTAGATTCTCTCTGAAAAGCTGATTCCATCAATGCATCACACTTGGGGTCTAGCAGGAATGATTACAGAGATATAGGGTGTTCAAAATCGAGATTTTACAACTTTAGGATTTTTTTGAGTCGAAACTATTCATTATTGGTCAAAACGGCTTTCATGTCCCTATCTCAACTTTTGATTTACTATCTACTGACATTTATTTGAAATAAATACAGGGTGATCAAAAGTCTGAATCTTGAACCACCCTGTATTTGTTTCAAATAAATGTCAGTAGATAGTAAATCAAAAGTTGAGATAGGGACATAAGAGCCGTTTTGACCAATAATGAATAGTTTCGACTCAAAAAAATCCTAAAGTTGTAAAATCTCGATTTTGAACACCCTATATCTCTGTAATCATTCCTGCTATACCCCAAGTGTGATACATTGATGAAATCAGCTTTTCAGGGAAAATCTAAAAATGCAATAAAATACAGGGTGTTCCATTTGAAATAACAAAGTTGTTGCTTCTTTTCGTTAGAAGCGGCAACGCCGCGGGGCTGAAAATATTTCAGAACCATGTCCCCCTCGAAAATGTAGTTGATGTGTCTCGGGATTTTTCAAAAACATACACACATTTCGAGAAAATTAGGGTGGGAAGTCCTGAAATGAACACCCTGTATATATGGCAAAATTTCCTTGGTTATTTCAGCATCTCCTGTCCATTCTGTGAAACTTTGAAACGATATTCCATCAGCTTCTGTTTAAATTATCTAACAACTTCACTGTTTACTCAAATCTGAGTTTTGTTTTGTTCTTCTATAATCTGAAACTGGTCAAATTTATGTTGTTTTTTATTTGGGATAATCCGTAGTCAGTCAAATAATCAGTGGTTTATGATTCATTTCCTTTTGACTTCTTTATGTAATTTTAAGTATTTAACAGTCCCCTGTATCCAGAAATTTTGTTGTACAGACGTTATGTATTATTGGAAAATGGACCACAATATAGGTGTAGTTATTTAAGATTGTACTAGTCCTCACAGTCTTTTATAACAGATAGTCTGTAAATTATCATGTTACTGTTTTATAAATATTGTGTATATTATATAAAATAAAATGTGTATAATGTATATAATTTTGGTGTTGGTGTGTATATTATTCCCAAAGTCCTGCAAACTGTAGAAATGGTAGCTCGATCATTCCCACAAAAGAATGAATACTCAAAAACAATTCAAAATGCTCAATGTAAAATATGAAATGGTTGAATGAAGAGTGGAAGAGTATTTATACCTTGGTATGTACATGAAAATGTATGTAAATAGCTGTAAGTATAAAATACATGGATAGAAAAAGGTTTGTTCAAAGATATAAAACACAAGTTTCGTTTCATCAAGCTTGTTATAGAGAAAACTAGACTATCAAGACAAGGTGATTCATAGAGAATTTCGTGAATCGATTGTTTGTCAGCTCATGCAAAACATACTGTTTCGGCTTGCCAAGAATCATCAGTTGCACTAGGCCAGCTGACAATAAATTCACGAAGGGAACTTCAATATAAGCTTAAATGGGGGAGAAGCATCAGCACCATCAAGTGTTGAAAGTGCAAACGTGTATATGTAGATCGCAAATCCGTACGTCTGCTCTACAGAGACAAAATGTCACAACACTGCTGACTATCACAACACCTGAATCTCAAGTTCGTTCAATGTCCCACTGACAAGTTCATTATTGGCAACGCCACCTATATAACTTTTTGAAAGCTGTCAAAGAGGTATGTTTACTATGTTTTTATTGGTTCACAACAAACTGCTCCGAAGTGTTCAAATTGTTGCCGTCACATGGGGCTACGTTTCCTTTTTCGACAGGTACAACGGAATACGCTAGAATACTCCGACGTTGAATCAGAGTACCATTGATCTGGCTCGAAGTGTTTTCCAGGAACGGCGTGGTGGGCAATGTTGCCATTTCGGACATTTCATGGCTAGTTCTAGCAATTTTGCAACACGATTAGCAGCTCAAAAATTGTATTTATCAGCAATTTTCTCCAGCCCTCAATTAAATTAAAACTTATGAACTGAAATAGATGTGATATAATATTTGTGTCAGGAAAGTTTGTCTCATTTTAAGACCTGGAGATACAGAAATCACAACAAGACTATCATTTTTTTTTCAGCATTGCTGATTTGATTGACATTGACGCAAGTGGCGTTTCAATGGTTAAACTGTAGAAGTCAAGCTCCGGCGTACTTTTTTCTAGTAATTTTCTGTCTCATTCAGTTCATGACAAATATACAGAGACAGAATGTCGATTTGGTGTATACAGGGTGATTCATTAACAATGGGAAATCTCTGATGAACTAGATAGTAAACACCAGAATATAAAGATTAAGCCTGACATGTATAATAAGAATGTTACTGGTTCAGGAGATAAAGGGTAATCAAGGGGAAGATTTCATTATGAAATTTCTTGATGACTTTGTGAGTTTCAACAGGATGAGCATGATATTTTGTACTCTCGAGGTGAGAAACACGAATTTGTAACTTATTTTGTGATTGCTCATAGAGAGCGCTAGTGGTACTCTGTTACTTCGGTAAATTACTTCATATATCTTTTGTCCATTACATGATGAATAAAATAATTCAAAAAGCTGAAAGCCCGTTCGATTTTACATAAAATATCAAAATTTTTAAATTGTCTAGCTCTAACGGTTTAGGCGTTATTCGCTCTTGAAGAGGTTTGTGTCTCACTTAAAACATTTTTATTATCTTAAATCATAAAGTAAGCGAAGTGACAAAGGAAAAGAGGCATTAATGAATAATGACAATCACAAACAACGCCAACAACAAACAGAATTTCTAAGTGAATGTTTGACCAAAGTTGTGAAGACATTTGAAATACAATATTTCTGCAACATTTTACTGAGGCATGTTGAGGCATGTTGGGCTAAATCTTCATATTTTAGTGTTTACTATCTGTAGTCAAGTCCATTCTGAATGAATCACACTGGGTACGTGTTCCAAGGATTCTTAGGCAAAAAAGTAGAAAACTTCATGTTCCTTATTTTTTCCGAGGATAGTTTGTTTTTGTAATAAATTGAAATATTTTTTGGGCTTATTAAAATGTTTCAAACAATGGGCGTGTACACCTTAGTAGAACTTTCAACTCAAACCATGTTAATAATGATCCTTTTATACATAAATATTGATTGACGACATAATTCGATCGAAAAATTAACTGGAATATTTTATTTTTGGACATAAATAATAGAAGCTTACCAAACGCCCGACGGAGACTGAGGCAACTGATATATTAATTCTTTCAACTGTGATCTCCCGCTTATTCACTCTGTCAGAAATCATGTATCATTCATCTCTGTCTGGAATAGTCTTGTTTCAGTATAAGGGGTTTTGACGTTACATCATCGCCTCGTTTTCAGAGGTCCGAAAAATCGGGGATTTCAATAATTTTTTATAAAAAGTAGGGTGCTCACAGCAAGAAACGGTTTGCGGTGGTGAGCTAGTTTGGGTGAGTTCTATCGAATGATGAAATAAATTTTTTTTGTGATATAAGCCCATTCTCTGATTGTAATGTCACTCAATTCAGGTTTTCTAACTATAAAATTTTGTGTTTGGAACATTTTGATAGAATAGCTAAATCTTACACAAAATTAAGAAGTTGGAATTGTATATCCCTGGACAGATATATTTGATAAAATGGCAAGAGTTACCATGAAATGAATAAAAATGAATGTTTACATACATTGATAGAAACTTTTCATCACAAAATATAATGAAGAATCTGGGAATTATTTCAGTAAGAGTATTAGCTGACCCTGTACGTTAAGTATTTCGTGGGAAATTCGAGAAAGTATTCTCATATAGGATGTCGCATTAATCGAAGTTGATGCCTGATAATGAAAAACCATATATGATATTGTTCTTCATGAGAAGATTGAGAATTTTATTCAGGACATACTGTATGTACCGAATTGAGAGATCAGAACAACTTTTGGTACACTCAGTTTATAGGTAATACGCCGGATTCATAACGAATGTCAGCAGTGTTGCCATTATGTTAGTTTTTCCGCAAATGCAGTGACATTTTGGTGCAAATCATCTGAAGAGAAAAACGCAACCAATTTAGAAAAAATAATATTATACAGGGTGGAGACTTAAACTGGAATAAATTCGCTACTAGGGGAGTGAATGATTTTTCTGAAACGTCAACGTTTAAATGTATTTACCTAGATTTGGCAAGCAATATGGAGAATATAACCCTTCAGGGGTAACAACATGTTTTTTTCAAATACAACCCTATGGCTTGCGACCCCTCATTGGAAAGATGGTTGAAAGAGGAATTCAGTCATCATATTTGCGGTACGTTTGGAGGTCGCAAAAAATCAAAATATAATTTTGAAGTCTAATATATTATCAACGTATTTTCATCAAAATTTGTGTGACAGTGATATATCTCCAACAGTTCACAATAACACTTCGTTTCGAACTGTGAATACGGCAAAAAAACAAAAAATGTCTTTTTCCGGCTCTATAAAAACACTAGAATACAATAGCCGACCGATTGATACGTTGAAGAAAAAATAATTTCAAAATTACATTTCACTTGTATGCAACCTCTCAAAGTATGAGAAACTAAAATTTGACTAGTACGCTGGATTCCCCTTTCCACTAGCTTTCCAGGGTTACATTTGAAAAAAATCATGTTGAGGGTGGTGCAGCTACCCCTGGCGGGATATTTTCACGATATTGCTTGCAATAGGTGAGTAAATACATCAAATGGTTGGCGTATGCCGGGAGTTTTCAGAAAAAATATTCACATTCCCGCTAACGAATTCATTCCAGTTAAAGTCTCCACACTTTATATAATATACACATTTGATGAACAATTTGAACAAACTCTATATCTTTGAACAAGGCTTTAGTGAGAATACTTCAAATCAAATACGGTAGGTATTCTCGTTCTTACCACGACTATAAATTAACTTTTAATGATTATCAACAGGTCATGAACCCATTGGACGCAATTTGCGACAAACCAAGAAAGGATGCTATTTGCGTAAGTCAACTGAGGAATGCCAAAAAGGTGGATCAAGCCCTTCTGCAAGAGAGACCCGACGTCAAAATATTCTTGCCATTCAGATTCCTATTTTACAAACCAGACCAGCTGTTCCATCCCAACACGTACAATAAATTTTTAGGTAAGGTATCATTTCTCACAAAAATCTATCATAAATAAATACAGTCTGTAGGTATATCGAGCTGGTGGAATATTAATTTCTCCATATTTTTTGAGACTGTCTCTGAACTGAACTTTGGTTCATATCAAAATATATATCATATATCATAATGAATTAATTGAATAGACCTAATGAGGTATTCGTTGGGGAGTGCCGTCATATACATACGTGCCTGCAATAAATAATTCACAGGCACATCAGCGCTTCTCTAGTCGCAGCGTTTTGGTTTCCCTTCATGTCACTTATGCCAATTCAAGATTCAGAATTCTGATCACCCTGTATCAGCTCCGATTGAATATCAGTAAATAGTAAATCAAAAGTTGAGATAGGGACATGTGAGCTGTTTTGGCCGATAATGGATAGTTTCGATATATACATCGATCATAGTTGAAAAATCTCGATTTTGAACACCCAATATCTCTGTAATCATTTCCGTTAGACTCCAAGTTTGATGTATCGATGAAATCAGCTCTTCAGGGTGCATCTAAAAATGCAATGAAATACAGGGTATTCGATTTGAAATATCAAAGTTGTTGCTACTTTTTGATAGAAGCGGCAACACTGCATTTATGAAATTATTTTGAATGAAGAGAGCGTATTCTAAAATATAAGGATGCATATTTTCATGTATTTCTCCCGACTGATTCTCGATATACAGATAGTGTAAGCTCGTCGTGACATACCCTGTATATAAAATTCTCCTGTCCCTGTCACAGTGTTTGTCGCCAATTCTCTTGCGCATATTCGTTAGGTCTAAGAATCAGTCGTCAACTATTGTTCAAATTGGAAATTCAAGATAGCGGATCCAATATGGCGGACGGATTTTGTAATCCGATTTTATTCAAAATTGTAATCTGGGGGTTTTCAGGGTGCGATT